GAACTGTCGGGAACCATCTATCCATATTATGCAATGTACCTATTGTAACATTGGTCATTCACGGAGCATAGCACGAGGGGATTCTAATTAAGTATATAGCCTACCTGTAGGTTGCTTGGCTTCAACATTTTAACCTTGTCGGTTCGGTAGATTCAGTGTTTAACCAGAACAGCAAACAGACCACCCCCTTTTTTATGATTTTAGTACCAGGAGATCAAGGCTTGCTCGGTTGTGGTTAATTGGGTTTAATCGTTAAAACAATATCATACACAGGACCCACTTTACAATCTATAATATTAAAACGAAACAGGGTTTTTTATTTCACGATTCTGAATCAACCACTTGACGGATTTTCATGATTTTTGTGTTGAAAGAAAGATAATTTTGAGAACTAGGGAATGTCGAAGCCATAATTTTAGTTCAGGGTTTCAGTTTTTTAGAAATTAAGTTTCAATTTTTAAAAAGTCTAGCAGCCGACGCTAGCAACTTAAAGTATTTTCAAAGCTGGTTTAACTAACAGCTGGTTTATAACTGTCATTGAAATGTTTATGTTACGAGTTGTTTGTTTACAAAAATATTGTTCGTTGGTGTTTGCCTACATACTATCATTGACTATTGGATACAGAAGAAGACATCCCATCTATATGGATCAGCTGTTGCCAATTTTTTTACTATAAAAGAATTTAGTTGTGTGAGCTAGTCTCAGATTGCGCTAGTGTCTAAAACTCTATTTTGTACCTTATTTTTTGTTACTGACATAGTTGCTGGGTCACGACAGTTGCTAAGCTCATAATAAGTCATTCCATCAGTTTGAATTGGTAAAAACCATCATGTAATCGGTATAAACCAGTAATTTAGATCAGCGCATTCTGTAGGGGGCTCACATCAACTAAGACAAATTTTATTAAAAACCTGGCTACAACTTTAATATGGAGATGGTACTATTTCACTTTAAGGTAGTTTTCCCCTACCGTGAAGGATCTGCGTTTTAAGGAAATGTGTTATTTTGAACTAAACCTCTCAAACACTTGCGTTTAATCAAGTTTTTTACCAGAACCTAATGACCAGAACAATAGCTATGAGAAAGCCTCCAATAAAAATCTCTTCTGGTGATAACAATAAAGTAATATGTTTATTATTATTATCTGGCAATCCTGTGTCTGGTTATTTTGACCTACTTATTTCAAAATCTAAAACATGGGAAATAGATACAGACAGCAAGTATTATAGTGTTATAGATTCAGAAACTAATCAAAACAAATGTACTGAATGTGATATTATTTTCAAAAGTCATACAAAATTCCTCAATCACTTGAACAAAGACCATTCTAAAAAATGTAATGATTCATTGACAATTCTTAATCCACCTAAACACACCGAATGCAGATCTCCTGATTATCTTTCAAAATATTTTGAAGTAAATCCAATACAATCCTCTAAAGATCAAGTACCATCTATATGGTTGCCTCGCTGGGAAAAGATCGTTAATCTTAAAAGATTGCAATATAATTTGCCAAATGGATCCATTGGTGACAAATTTGTATAATTACTAGCGGAAGAAATATTATTGCTAGCAACTGGAAAAGAAACCTCTGAAAGAGTAATATGTTTCACTGCTGTTATTTTGCAATGAGAAAAAATTATAAAACAAACAAAAGACATCAGAAGACTAATTGATAGAAGAATTAATGAGTGGAAGGAGGAGAGGTATGATGACCTTATAAATGAGGCAATCCGATGCGATAGATCTTTAAAGAACAAGTGTAAAAAACTTAATACAAATGAACAAAAACAGTTTACAGAAACTTATTTCAACAGACTTGTTCAATGTGGAAAAATAAAAGATGCATCAAGAGTAGTAAACCAAAATATGGTAGGAGGAATCCTTAATCCTAAAAATTATATCGGTGAATCCAACACTACAGTTTATGAATTATTAAAAGAAAAACATCCAGACCCAATAATTCCAAACAAAGATTTACTAAAACTACCTGAAACCATGAGTGAAGTTCCCAAACTAGAAAACACAGAAATAACAGCAGAGCATGTTGAGAAAGTAGCAAGACAACTTCATGGAAGTGGCGGGCCAGGAGGAAGCTCCTCAGAAAATTGGACGGATTTCTTGTTAAGACATGGAAAGAAAAGTGCGCTGCTGAGATCATCAATAGCCTCTTTAGCCATGAAAATGAATGGAGAAATAAAATACCTTGGTATAAAATAAGAGCCTTAATGGCAAATAGATTGATAGCCATTGACAAATGTCCCGGAGTGAGGCCAATCGGAATTGGAGAATGCCTAAGACGAATCATAGCTAAATGCATGATAGTAGCATTTGGTGATGATGCAAAACATGAAATCAGAAATCAGAATCAGAAATCAGAATGTTTTTATTGTCCTTCAGCATTACAAACATGCAATAGACAAAGTCAAAGTTTGATACATTACAAAATTTAGGCTATATACAGTATCAGAGTCAACGTTTAAAAGCTAACAGTTTTAAAATCGTAAAATTCTCTAAGGCTATAAAAAGGATTTTTACACAGCCAGTCATACAACCTTACTCTAAATACTTTTTGGTCCAGGGATTTACTGCTTTCAGCTAGCTTATTAAACAACTTAAGACTAACAATATTAAAGCTACTTTGACATTTACTTAACCTAGTGTATGGTAACTCAAGTAAGGATTGGTTTCTGGTATTGTGTTCATGTAAGTCTGATCTGAAAACTAAAGAACCTATGCCATAATCTCTTTTTACATTTACTAAACAAACAAATATATACAGATTTATCACAGTCAAAATTTTACTATTACTAAACAAGGGTTTACAATGATCGGTAAAATACGCCTTATTTATTACTCTAAGAGCCTTTTTTTGGATTAATAAAACTTCACTGACATGACAACTATTTCCCCAGAGAATTAGGCCATAACTTATCACAGACTGGAAAAATGCAAAATAAGCTATTCTAACATACGAATCAGGTACAATGTTCATCAAGGACTTAAGCAGGAAAATTACTCTAGACAATCTTACACAAACAGATTCAATGTGAGCCTCCCATGATAGCGTACTGTCAACTACAATACCAAGAATTTTGATGTTGATGTTTAGGTACTAATGTACTCATTTGCCATTAAGGCATGCTTTAGGTACTAATCAACTATGTGGAGGCCTAAAATCAGGCATAGAGGGAGCAATACATTTTATGCAAAATGTTATGGATGAGAATTTTGACAGTACAAATGAATGGTGCATGATATTAGTTGATGCTGATAATGCCTTTAATAAAATTAACAGAGCAAATGCATTGTGGCAAGCAAAGTTACATTGGCCTAGAGCTGCCAGATTTATTTACAACACTTATCAATGCAACGCAGACTTGATAATCCCTGGAACAAGTAAAAGACTGTTCAGCAAAGAAGGTGTCACCCAAGGTGACCCTTTATCAATGATTTTGTATGGATTAGCAACTCTTCCACTAATTCAGGAATTAAAAAGAATGCCAGATGTTTTCCAGACCTGGTATGCAGATGATTCATCTTGTCAAGGATCCCTTAATAATGTGATACAATGGTGGCAAAAACTTAAAGAAATAGGTCCAAAATATGGATACTACCCCCAAGCAAAAAAAACCAAACTAATTTGGAACCATGATTTTGAAATTCCCAAAAAAGCTATGAAACAAATAGAGGGAATGGAAGTGGTTCATGGTAGCAAGTTTTTAGGAGGCTTTATTGGCTGCGAGGAAGAAAAGAAAAAAAATTGCAGCAGAAAAGGTCAATGCCTGGACCCAGCGTGTTGAAAATATTGCTGATCTATAAATAAAGCCAAAAGTACCCATGAACTTTTGAGAAAACTACAAGTCACACCCCCATAAACCATATACTTAAAATGTTCGTCATGACGAGAAACCTTGCGCTTAACTATCCATTATTTCGTAAATTGCCCTTTACAGTCGTAATTCCTTTCCAAACGGTACCTTCCATATACCTAATGTTAAAAATGCCTCAGCTGTACTTATTTGTTTGTATTACTGTATCCTGTTTTGTTGGTATTTACTCAGGGGAGGTATAGAAGAGGCTACGATGACAGCTGAGGGCTTTTTATTAGCTGAGGGAACGCCATTACCGTAACAAAACGGTCGATAGCCATCGGCTTCGGTGGTCTAATGGTTAGCGTGCCGGGCTGATATACTGTAGGTCCCGGGTTCGAATCCCGCCGGTAGCATTAACTTTTTGTCCAAGATTTTTTTTTCAGCAAGTTTGGTTGGTTTGGTTTGGTTATTACAGTTTAATTTAAGTCATTATAAAATTTTAATTGAGCAATTTCTAGTTTTATTTTATAAACAGAATGTTTTTTCGGATTACTGTAAGCTTTTGTTATATTATTTCTTTATCAGCAAGTTTGGTTAGTTCGGTTAGGTTATGATAGTTTAATTTTATAATTAAAAATTAATAAAATTGAATTTTAGGCATTTATAATTTTATTTTATGAACAGAACTATTTTTGCGATTAGTAAACCTTCATTGCCAAAGTGCTCTCTACTACAGCGCTGTTCACGGAGGAATTTTGAACTAAATGCCTCATTTGTACCTCCCCTAAGTCAGACCCTGTTTTGTTTATTTCAGCTTAACTTAACCAATCAATAATTTTATTAATACTTATGAAGTCAAACGGGGTGAAGCAGGGTGAAGCCCGTGGGTAACAGCTAGTTATTTATACTGTTTATTCCTCAGTTTTAAATGTTTCTTTCATTAAATACAGTTAAACTATTTTTTCAATCTAATTTTTCTTTTATTCTCACCTAAAATACAGTCCACCTATTAATTATCACCCAGTACTGTTTCTTTATTTATCCAATTATTTCACTCAATAGCTAACTGGTCCATATATGAGTCTAAATCATTGTAATTTGATTCTTAAATTCTGTTGAATAAGACTTGAACTCAAATTGTTTCTTTTGATTTATTACAAGATCTATTTTTCGATTGTCACCAGGTGGGTTTGGGCCAAACTTTGTGTGTTGGCATTGGTGGTGATCCGTTCAATGGAACTGACTTCATTGACTGTCTGGAAGTATTCTTGAATGACCCCGACACCAAGGGCATCATCCTCATTGGGGAAATCGGAGGTGTAGCTGAAGAAAATGCAGCAGAGTACTTGATGAAACACAACTCTGTGAGATAATTGTTTTATTGTAGCAATAGTTAAGTCATAAAGTACCTAGTTTATTCTAATAGTGATACAGAGTGGCCCACTGAAGGTAGTATTTTCTTTCCTGCTAATCCTTAATATTATTGTATGGGACTTAACCGTTGTTAGACTAGGCCTAATTATAGAATCTATAAATTTATTATTCTTCTAGAAAAACATTCCAAAGATTAATGATGTTTCAGACAACCAACTATAATAATAATAATAATAATTAATAATAGTAATAATCTTTATTTGTCATAAGATCATCGTCAAAGTCAAAATCACGATCATACATCAACCGTCTAACAAAACAAAATCAAAAACACTTTCAATATTTTGAAAAAACAAAGGCCTATATAATACGTGAAGGTGATTTCTACAAAACACTACTCCTCCGTTAATAATGGACGGATTTTTACAAACGATGTGCCAAAATGAAGTATTTTAAATGGTAGAAAAAGGAGGATAGCAGCTAGCTTACCTTGAAAGTGTGGGTAGGCCATAGAACAAGTAGAAAAATATTTTGCACACAATTTTTCGTCCCCTAAGGGACTTTGTCAAGTGTAGAGAGAGTTTATAAATTACAAGATGGCTGCTGTCATGGCTGATGGCTGTTGTCAACTATGCAGGGTTGCCTCATCTCATTAGTCTATTTACAACTATGTACACAACTTTATATATACACACACATATAATATTTTATATACAAACTAGGCCTATTATGTATTTAGCTAGCTGCTTGGACAGGTTTATCTTAGGTTAAGGTTGGGGGGAGTTCTGGAGTTGGTTATATTCAGGGTTGTCAGAGGCCGGGAATTCCGGGAAAATCGGGAATTATGCGTGAATTTTAACAGCCGTGAAAAAACCGGGAAATATGCGTGAAAATCATATTATTCCGTGAATTTAATTGATATCGTTATTACAGTTTTTTTTTCAAGTAATTTTAATAGTTATAAACCGTTTTGCAATACTTTCTTGATTGATTTTATAGTAAACCAAAATTTACGGTTTACTGGCGAGTGGCGATGGTTCGGAAGAAGCAGAAGGTAAGTTGGATGTACACTACCTACCACCATGAATAGGCCTACACGGGAAGCCGACGCCGCCGGTCGCCGGAAGCACTTAGTTAAATATACTCGCAACTCAAGTCGAGTAGTAGAGGTTAAGCCGATTTCGTTGATGTTTGACAAGTAAATAATAAGAAAGGAAAATGTTTGAGTTTTATTTAATCCCTTAACCCCTTTCAATATTGACATACTAGGCCTAATAATTATTGGCAACCTAGGCATCGCTTGCGTCATCCATTTCTCTGACAGCGACAGCTGACACTGGGTGATGGTGATAGTGGTAATAGTGGTGTGCAGCGAGTGCGATGCATTGAAATTTCAATTTGATTCTAAAAAGGGATCAATCAATAAAATCTTTATTCAATATTAGTACTCTGTACATAGAATGGTGTCAATATTAATGAATACTAAGATACATTATAACTAAGATTGGTTAATACTAAGGCTGTCAAAACAAAAGATATAGTTATATGCATGAAAAGAAAAACAGAACTAAAAACTTTCTTTACACATCATTTTTACATGGGAATTCGGAGAAAGAATATAATGTTAAATCAATAAGATATTTTTTTAGTTGATTTTTGAATTTATTAATATTTTTCTCAGATTTAATGGCTTTTGGTAACATATTATAAAATTTTGACCCCATATACATTGGCTTCTTTTCATAAAATCCAAGTTTATGTTTGTCAATGCCAATTCTATTCCTGAATCTTGTATTATAATTATGAGTATCTCCAACAAAATGAAGTTGGTCCTGACGGTTTTTCACAGAAATTATAGTTTCATAAATGTACATTGCATATACAGTCATGATACCAATTTTAGAAAAAAAGAGTTTTACCGATTCATTATAATTTAATCTTAATATAATCTGAATTGATTGTTCCTGAATTTTTAGTATTTTGTTCAAATTTTGAATGGAAGTTGCCCCATATAATGAAAGACCAAAGGCGATATTTGAATGAATATAGGCGAAATACACTATTTTCAGAGTCTCTGTTGAACAAATTTTTGAGAGCCTCCTTAGTGCATATACCCCAGAGTTTAATTTAGAAACTAGATTATTGACATGGCTGTTCCAAGACAAGTTGCTGTCTATAGTTAATCCTAAAAATTTAGATTCATACACCTTCTCTAATTCAGTTTCATTTAGAATGATGGTAGGTGACAGCATATTTTTATTATTTTGATAAGTTTTGAATTCAATGAAATTTGTTTTAGCAGAGTTTAGTACTAAACTATTATTTTGGAAATACTGATTTAAAAGAGCCAGGTTTGAAAATGATGACAACTCAACCTCCTCAATAGAGTGCCCATTTATTTGAAGATTGGCGTCATCAGCATAAAGACATAAGCTATAATTATTATGTAATTTTGGCATGTCTTTTATGTAGCATGTGAATAACAAAGGTCCTAATATGGACCCTTGAGGAACACCTCTTATTACCTGTTTAAGAGTGGATTTGTATTTGAGCAATCTATTGTTATTTAAATTTTAAATTTCTACAAACTATTGTCGGTTACATAAATATGTACTAAACCAATTATATTCGATGTATCGATTATCGTCATCGATACCACCATCCATTGGTTACCACTTGGACATTGGTATCGGTTCGGTACCAAGACTCAATTGTAAAAAGTCGATTCCGATAACACCGGACACCCAACAGGGATAAATATTTTTTTTAACATTTATTAACTTTATAGCTACAGTATTAGTTTTGTAATCACGATTAGTTTTGTAATCACGGTTAACAATTTTCATAGCCAACATAGAAACTATCTAGTTCAAAACAGCGACGGTGCCAGTGACATTGTTTAGCTTCAGCTCATTGCACAACACAATCTACATTTCAAGATGTCAGACTCAACTCATGAGACAACCGGCGCGCGAATGTCCTGCCAACACAAAATTAATTATACTAAACAATGTCTGTATCAATAAGTCAGACATTTAGATGTATTATTTTTATTTTTAGTACAAAATAAATAACCTAAACACGTTGAAATGTTCCGTTTCCTCCCTGCAATATTCAACCATTAAACTTTAACATCGTCATCGTCGTATGGTTAGGCTTGCTTTATATTGCGCCAAAAAGTAGGTCCATATTTATCTGTACTATCTACCTGATTAAAGAGTTTAGTTAAGTTTTAAGTGCTACTATGACACAATGCATTTATTGAAAAATATCATAAGCCTTAGTCCATGTAGATTTTGTAATGTTATAACGAATGGTGAATGTTGACAATAAGTATGTAACAACAGTTCTCATTGGTCAGGAGGCGACAATGCACTACCATGTCAGCCAATCGACTTTTGTGTTTCAATGGAGCAAATGACGATTGCTAGACATCGTTTTATGTGCTTTGCATATTGTGGGTGGGAAGGGTATCGATAATTTATCGTGATTCGAGATCCGATATGTAGTACGTGTTCGTTTATGCATAATGAGTATTTAAGTATAAAAAAACTAGGTTAGTTACAGACAGGTTCAAAACATCGATTGTTACGATCCATTTTTGACACCCCTACACGGAAGTTATAGTGACGTCGTGCATAAGGGCCAGGCAGGCCGGTTCACAGTGAATCCACTCTGCCGAACCTATACTCTTGGTATCATCGGGAACATAGTCAAACACTTTTGTTACTAAATAAAACTATGGCATGTTTTGTAAAAGCACTCTTTTGGAGATTCTAGTCCCTAAACATAATCTTTATTTTAGGCTAAAAGCAAAACTTATCTATTGCCATACTTTACTCCACAGACGTCGACTTATTCTACAACTCTTTAAATAATACCAGGTTTCAGTCAAAATACTTTTGTAAAAATTGACAGTGTGCTGTTTTAACACAGTCATTCCTTGACCACGATCGTTTTTACTTCTTATAGAGAAAAGACTCTCCTTACAAAAAGTATTTATAGGTCAAGATGTAATTTATGTAGTTTTTTAAAAGTATAACTGCAATTGCTTTTAAAAATAAACACAAAAATTGTCAAATGACTTAGATTAATACTTGTAGGCCTAAGCCTATTTATAAATTAGAGGAAACTTTATTAGATCTCATCACAGTCAAATTCAAACATTTGCAGTGTTTTAAAATAATTAACACTCAGAAACGTTTGTGTAATGGAAATCTGCAAGCGACTGACGCCAAGGGTAAGGGAGGGCATGTGAACCAGGCTTTAGAGCAAACTTTCTCTTTTCCTACCCCATGTCCCGTTAGACGGTGGGCGGAGCTTCACACTAAATAAACACTCAGTTCATTCATTCACATTAGAGAATAGTTTTTGTGGCAGTGACGTATGTCTCTTGTCTGCTCTTCATAGCTCACACGTAGATTTCTTTCGAGAAATTATAGGCTAAGTGATAATCTTGATTAAAAATAAGTGAAAAACTGTTGACATTTTCAAGAAAGAAAAGTTAAGAAATAAAAGTGTAAAAAATAAAAAGGTTGCTTGATTAGTTATTCTGTATATAAAAAATCCTCATTTATGAATGTAGATTTCTTTCGAGAAATTATAGGCTAAGTGATAATCTTGATTAAAAATAAGTGAAAAACTGTTGAAATTTTCAAGAAAGAAAAGTTAAGAAATAAAAGTGTAAAAAATAAAAAGGTTGCTTGATTAGTTATTCTGTATATAAAAAATCCTCATTTATGAATGTGTTTTCAGCTAGACTTGGTTACTTATTCATAGTTAAACTAATTTTGAAGATATATAACTGTTTCTATAAGCCTATTTATAAATTAGAGGAAACTTTATTAAATCTCATGCTTTAGTCAAATTCAAACATTTACAGTAGGCCTATTTTAAAATAAACAAAACTATTAAATACACTCAGTTATCGCAAGTATGGAACAGTGATTGTTAGTAAGTGTATCACTCAGTGTTATTAGATAAATTAAGT